GCTGAAAGCACAGTGTTGTCAGCTGCACTGTAGGTGTATTGAATCAGAATTTCTGGGTATGGAACCTGGGAATCGGAAGTTTTTAATAATGGTCCTGGGTGACATTAACGCTTGAGAAACTGTGCTGCTTTGAAGTCATATTTGAGTCTTTGAATGCAGTGCGGGTGGTTTTATGTTACCTGTAGCTGTGCAGTACCCTGTTGACAGGGATTAGCTGTACGACAGGTTATTTAATTTTAAATTAAACGTTTTTACACCACTTCTCCTGTGCTTGTGGGTAGCGTTTGTTATAATGTTTCTGAAAGCCTGCAAGATCCTCAAATGCCCTTCTAATCATTGGAGAGAGATTAAATGTCATGTTCAATATCATAATTGGTGCTGAACATATTGTATTACATTTTATTCAAAGCCTTAAAAATTTATAATTGAAATACAGACTACATGAAATAGTCTCTTGGCAGAAATAATGATTCACCAAGTACCTTATTTCCTGATTAGGCCACATAAGAGAAATGAAAATAAATGTTAAATCTTTTCAATGTCTTTGATTCTACTTTAGTGAGGTGTTAATATATGAAATTCCGCTGCTGCCCCAGTCATATTTGTCCATGTTTGTGATTTATCACTGATATAAGTATTGGAATTCCTTTTTAAAATTCCTATTAAGCTTTAAGTTATTTTGAACATTTTAACTTGTAATTTATATTAAATATTTTATTCTGATGTCGGATTCATCCATTGAGTCGGTCTTTCACCATTTACTCAGTACATTTTCAGTGATGGACTGTCCCGAAGCCAGTAATAAGGACCATGCCGTGATCCCTGTCCTCAGGGATGTTTCAGAATCATGGGTAGGGATGGAGGGAAGGCAGAGGTAACAGCGCAGGAGTGCTAAGCCCTGATAAACGGGGTGTGATACAGTGCTTGGGTGTGGAAGAGGGTCACACAAACTTAGCTGGAATGTAGTACAGCCAGGAGCCAAGCCTGCTGCCCCAGGCCTCTGTGGCTGTTTTCCTAAGACTACATGGGGGCTGGCGCTCCGTGCACAGGGTTTGGTAGGAGGATTAAATGAGAAAATGTACCTGCCCTGGTGAGCACTCCGTAGAGGATGGCCGCGTTATAAAGCATTACAGAAGAATTAGGGTGAGAACTTAAAGGGGAGCAGAGACATCCACTATCAATTTTCACATATGTTTCTTACATACAAATAGACTGTTAGTTGGAAATGCTATGATAAAAGAGGGTATATCGTGTGAAATGCAGGTTGCAAAACCATTCACGTTGACTTGTTATTTTAGGTACCAAAGCAGTCAGACTCACAGCCTCATTCTGAGAACGTGAGTCGCCAAGGTGAGTGTGGTTCGAAGAAGCAAGTGTCTTACAGAACTGATATTGTTGGCGGTGTACCCATCATCACTCCAACTCAGGTACAAATTAATTCTGCTTTGTGTGATGATTTAATGACCGTCTACTGATTTCTGTATTGTTAATAAAACTAAAGCAGTACGTCTTCATCAAATTAACATAATAGTCAATTAAGACAAAAAAAGTTACATTTGTTTCTTATTTCAAAAGTGTTTATTGTAAAAAATTTGAAGATCACTGATAAACAACACCTGACACTTCTCATGCTTTCCCTGAGCCTTCTTCTGTGAACTTGTGGCCCCGGAAGCGGACCTTCAGTTGAACCCTGAACAATTCGGGTTCGAACTGCACGGGTCCATTTATACTCAGATTTTTTCAGTAAATACCTGTACTGGTTACGCTCTGCGGATGGAGTCCTCGCACGCAGAGGGCGTATCGTTTTATATCGGGGACCTGAGCACCATGGGTTTTGGGGTCTGGGGGCCCTGGAATCGACTCCCTGCGGATCTGAGGGGCAGCTACGATTCGGATGCTCTGACTCCGGCGTCGTTCAGGGTCAGCTTTACTTGGCAAACAGCTTTTTTCACTAACATCGTTTTTTAAGTCATTGAAGATTATTTTGCCTCATTTTTATGACTGTGTATTATTTTGCCACAAATTTACCACAGTTTGCAAATCTTGTGTTGGACAGTTCTTTCTTTTTTCTTTTCTTAAAATAAACGACGTGATTAGGAGAAACCCACCCTCTCCTGTGTTTCTCACACCACTGTCCCGCTCACAACACTTACCAGATGTGTGGGTTCCCCCCACACCATGCCATTCTGTGGCACCAGCTGGGTGCCCTACAATTTAACTGAATTCTGACACTATCTCCCCGGACCCCACAGGTTAAGGGCTCAGTCCCACAGGAATCCCTCCCTCCCCCTCAGGTGCCGGTCGCTGGTCTCAGGTCCAGGTTGTCGTCACCTGCACTTCTGACCAATGGCTGTAAGCGGGAGGTTCCCACAACCCCTTCTTTGGGGGTCGGTTCCTTTGCTAAAGCGGCTCGCAGACCTCAGGAAGACAGTTGACTTGTCGTGTACAGTTGATGTTAAGAGGATATGATAAAGGACACAGATGAACTTCCAGATGGAAGAGACGTTTTGGGCAAGATGCGCGGGAGGCGTGCGGCCTTTCCGGGCCCCGTCTGGGCACAGCACTCTCCCCGCACCCCCACAAGTTCACCAGCCCCGAAGCTGTCCGAACCCTGAACCCCGTATCCTCCCGTAGGCACGATCGATCACTCACTCCATTTCCAGCCCCTCACCCCTCTGGAGAATGGGGAATGGGTTGAAAATGCCATGCTTCTAGTTATGGGTTGGTCTTTCTGGTGATGAGCCCGGATCCAGGAGCTATCCATTAGCCCACCAACAGTCACCTCATTAGGATGAAGGACACTGCTCTCACCCAGGCAATCCCAAGGGATTTAGGAACTCTGTGTCAGGAACCGGGATCGAACACCAAATATTAGAACAAAAGATGCTCCTCGTGCTGTTATTATTGAGGAAATTGCAAGGGTTTTAGGAGCTCTGCCAGGAACCGGGGCGGAGACAAACATATATTTTTTCTATTATATCATAAATACTGTGATGAATATTCTTGTAGCATGAGCTTTAGAGACATAAACAGTCTTTTGTAAAGGATAAACTCCTAGAAATAAAATTGCTGAGCCAAAAGTGTTTGTTAATATGTGTATTTTTTTAAGCCTGTTTTTCAACAACCTGGCCTAGATGAGCTAAAGAAAGGACTGGAATTTTGACTCAATTCTATCCCAGAAGTAACTGCTATGCTAAATTAAATCATATTTGGGTATTATGAAAAATACAAATTTATTTTAAAAATTTATGACGAAATTAAAACTTTTGTATGAGTTTAAATTTTTTATGTTACTATCGAATGAGTTTGTAAGGTAAATTAAATTACCAGCAGTGGAGAAACCGAATATTTTCAAGTAATTAATTGGTATTGCCAGCGTTGGACATTTTCATTACTTTTTAAAGGTTTAAAAGGTACACAGATACTTTATAAACCTTTATAAACTTTTGACACTCTATAAACCTTTACAACCCAATCGTATTATGCACCATAATTTTCAGGACTTTTGTCAGCGGGGAGTGATTAGCAGAAAGAGGTTTCCTACTACATTAAATACTTGGGGGGGCCACACCTCAGTCTTACCATGCCACTTAGGGGAGGCCACACCTCAGTCTTACCATGCCACTTAGGGGGGTCACACCTCAGTCTTACCATGCCACTTAGGGGGGTCACACCTCAGTCTTACCATGCCACTTAGGCCGGGAAGCCTTTCACTCCCAACCCTTTCCTCCCACGATTCTGGGTGAGGAAAAAAAAATTATTATTGAGTGCTTTCTGTATGCCAGGCAAAGGATTATACTGAGTAAAAACTCCATGCTTTAGGGAGAGGTTACATTTTTCATCAGAGTTCACTAAGACATAATCTAGGATTTTGTGTGTGTGTTTACTTTTTTAAAGTAATGATTTTAACCTGTAAGACTTCTTGTTAAGATACAGCTAGACTACGCTGCTTTTGCCTCTCTTGTCTTGTGTGGATATACGTGATTCTAAGACAGTTTGTTTATAGTCGTATTAGGCTATTTTCATTATTTATATCTGGTTGTTTTAATTTTGTACAGAATTAAGATTTCGTTTTGATTTTGGTATAGATTACTCAGTAAGTTCTAAGATTCTGTGGTGGGCGCCATGTTAAAGATCCCAAAGAATTTTATTGCTGTCATTTTTCAATGTAGTTTATTTAATGATGAAGTAGTATTTACTTATAAAAGTATTTAGATGACATGGTATCGAGAAAATGTTGACTAAATCTCATTTGCATGGTTAATTTATTCGGTAACTATTGGATTAGCATGTACTTAAGTGCTAGGATTACAAAGTTAAGCACATAACGATTAGTGCTGTTGACCTGTCTAAGTGTAGAGCAGGTTGAGAATCCCTCAAGTTATGATTTGAATATTTAGTTTTTCTCTTGAAATTTAGGCATTCTTAAAAACATACCTTTGGTGATATGTGGTATTCTAGATCATCACGTTAATATGTTATAAATAAACAGGAAACTAGTGCTTTGGGAAACATGAAAACCTGAGTATAGTTAGTTTTTTTAAAGCACTGGACTTACACGTAAAAAAATAAAAATAAAACTACAGTGTTTATAGAAAAGAGCAAAGGGGAAAACCTTCAGGATCTAGTACCAGGTGAAGCGTTTTGAGACTTGATATCAGAAGCACAATTCGTAAAAGGAAAAAATTGATAAATTTGACTTTGCCAATATTAAAAATGTTCGCTCTTGTAAGACCCTGTTAACTGGATGAGAAGAAAAGCTCTACGTTGGGAGAAAATATTTTCAATCCACACACCTAGCAAAGCACTCGCGTCTAGAGCTGATAAAGAGCTATCAAAACTCGGCACTAACACAATTCAGTTAGAAAATAGGCAAAACGACTGAACAGAGATTTTAGTTAAAGTTAAAAGATACACAAATGGTAAATGTGCGCTGGAAAGGATGTTCATCATTAGCCAGTAGGCAAATGCAAATGAAAGCCACAGTGGGGTATCCCTACACACCTGTCGGAATGACTCAACTAAAAATTAATGATAAATGTTGACTAGGATGAGGAGAAACAGAATCACTCGTACATTGCTGGTGGGCATGTAAAATACAGCACAGCCACTTTAAGAAAGGGTTTGGCAGATTTTTATAAAAATCAACTTGCAATTAATATGTGACCCAGCATTTACACTGGGCATTCATTTTAGAGAAATGAAGAATCAGTGATCACAGCAAACCCATACACGCACATGCATAGCAGGCTTGTTCCTCATAGCCAAAGCTGCAAACAGCTCTAGTGCCCTTTAACGGGCGGACAGCCGGTGGGGCACCAAAGCATGGCACCTGCTGAGCAGTAAGAGGGAGTGAGCATCCGAAGCAAGGAACAACCTGGGTGAACCTTCAGAGAATTACATTGACTGAAAAAAGCCAATCTCATAAAGTCCCCTATTATATGATTCCATTTATATTATATTCTCGAACTGCCTAGGGCTTGTGGATAGGGGCTCAAAAGGGGTACCTAGGGAGCCTCTTGGTGATGAACACTTCTGTGCATTGGTGGCGGTAGTTCCACAAATCTGCATGTGATAAAATAGCATAGAATGACACATACACACGGAGTTCACGTAAACCTGGCAAAATCCAAATATGGTTGTGTAGTGTTTCAGTTTTGATAATGTACGGCAGTTCCACAGTTTCCCTGTTTGGGGGGACCAGTTGAAGGATACATGGACCTCCTGTGCATCTTTTATTATCACTTTCTGTGAATCTATATCATTATTTCAAAATAAAAGTTTTAACTCCCACACACAGAAAAAAGCACTGGTGGCAGGACTTTTACTGAACAAGAGAAATAGAAATCTTTGGTTTTATCAATAATATGTAAGTTATGATTAAGTATCTCAAAATAATTAGAAAACTTTTCACTTCCAAATCTATGTTCCTAACTGAACAAAGACAGGGTTTAAGATTTTGCACTAGACTAATGAACAACATGAAGTATAAATATGCTTTGAATCTAAACAAGCAAGAACAATTTATTTTGCTTCATTTTAGAAAGAAGAAGTAAATGAATGCACCGAAAGTACTGACAGAAACAATTTGAAACGATCGCAAAGCCATCTTCCTTACTTTACTTCTAAACTACCTTCAGATAGTGCAGTTATCAAAGCTGGGTATTGTGTGAAACAGGGAGCAGTGGTGAGTAGCTTAACAGCGTGTGTGTGGTAATGACAGTAAGTGTTAGCACAGTCTCCACACCCAGGTAAGTGAGGGGTCAGCTTGTCGGGGGAGCTGGGAGATGGAGCGAGGGTTATTCTGTGTTCCTAACTCTGTGCTATTATTTTCTTGGTCTGTGAGCGGCTAGGAGATTAATGCTGACTACCACTGACATTCAGTTTTAAATGAGCTTTCCTAACAGTTTAATTTTTCCAGAAAGTTTTTCTATCGATCTCCGCCCCCTGCCCTTGGTAGTGGGCCAGGGAAAGCACTCTAGCAGGGAGGTGACAGAGAAGAGGATGTCAGGGGGGCGGGGGACAGGGGGCGGAAGTCGGCCCAACACTTGATTTGGTGTGGGGCTGACAGCTGAAAGCTCTGTGACCTTGGGCTACTTACTTAGTCTCTCAGCCTCTCAGTTTCTTTTGAAGGAAAATCATATTCTGAAACCTGCCATTGAGAGGTGGTTTTGAAAAGCGTCAGTGTGAGAGCACTTAGCACAGCACCTGGTCCTTGCTAAGAGCTGCTGTGGGTTATTCTCACACAGCCAGTTCCGTGATGCAGACCTGGAGCAAGCAAATCTACCAGTACTTCCGAGGTCCCGAAGTGCCTTTCTAAGCCATTCTTTCTATGTGAACTAAATCTTTAGAATTTTATGAGAAAATGTACATTAAAGTTTGAAAAAGAAAATTCTGTGAGTCAGGAAATACTAAAACTCTCCTGGCAGTTCTGTCTGACTTTAGAGACCACTTCTTGTTAGCTTAGGTCAGCCGAGGGGAAGTTCCTTCCTGACCATCTGACCTTCAGGTGAAGGTAAACGAAGGGGCGGGGGGCGGGGGCTGGAGGCTTCTCCTTCTGCCGTGTCTACAGGTAAAGGCAGCCGACTCATCAGGCCGTGACTCTCTTGTGTGGCAGAGTTTTCAAGGAGATGTTCCTTTTTTCTATTTTACTCTTAAGGCTAAAATATCAACCTTTAGAAATACTGAAATGCTTCCACAAAAACTATATTTCTCTGACAAAAAAAATGTTTGTGCAAAGTAGGTTCACTTTAATATTAAATTTCTATTGCTTTGCTATTTAAGTATAAAGTACCTATAGAAAGATTTGTGCATTTTACAGATAGAGAAACTTGATGTGGTTTAATAACATTTCCTGTTCTTGCTGTTGAACTCTTCAGAGCATTTATTTTGTGGAGGTTGGGTATGGGGAGGATGGGGAAGTGCTTTTTCTTTTTTTTTTAATTTTTAGAACATTAAAAATATGAAACTACATTATAAAATTGTATAATAAAAACTGAAAGCCAGTCCCCAAAGTTGAATTAGGAATTCAAGGCCGGAGTAGCAACCATTAATCTCCTCGCTCACGGGGCGGCGAGGTTTTCCAGTGCTTGACATTTCTGGGTATGGGCTCATGGCAGAATAATTAAGTGGTTCTTAACATCTGGCATTCTTAGAAGTCTTATGTCTGTGTTCCTCTCTGGTAGATGAAAAACTGGAAAAGAAGATATTTTCAATTGGACGAAAACACAATAGGCTACTTCAAGTCTGAACTGGTATGTTGCCGTGTCTTAAATGTTGCTTTAAAATGTTTGAGAAGTGTTACACTGTGGTAAAGTATGGAAAATATATTTTTGTCCTGTTTTCTCTTTTTTCAATAATTAAATTCTGGTTTTGAGAGGTACATACACTTCAGTTTCTGTTGCGATGCTTGTTAATGGTATTTTTGTTAAATATATCTTAAATTAAAAAAAAAAAAAATCATACCTTCAAAGACATTCCACCTTGAAGGAATTAAGAATATCAGCCCCTCAGTCTACAAATTTTCTTAAAGGGACACTGGAGGAGGGGATGGAATTAAGTCTCTCAAAGTCAGCATTTAACCCCATGTATTTCTGCCTTCTCTTCCCTGCCCCTCATCACATTTTCTTTTCCTGTCAGATTGACTTTTAAGTTTCTTTATATGAGATGTTTTTGTCCTATCTGAAGGTAGAATCAAAGATCGAAATTCCTTCTTACATTTTTTTGAGTAACATCCTTATTTAAAATATTCTTGTCACGTGACCTGAGTTCTGCAGTAGGTTTTTGGGTAAACTGAGTGCAGTTCTACACCTCACACGTCTGTCCTGCCTCTTCTTTTACGGGACCTTTCAGGGGAACCATATACTTATTTGAAGGAAGGCACCGGAACAGCACTGTCCAGTCGAGCTTTCTGCACTGACGGAAGTGTCCTGTATCTGAGTGGCCAGGTCTGCGGGCTGCATGTGGCTGTTGAGCACTGGAAAGATGTCTGTGGGACTAAGGAAACAGACCTTTAATTTTAAGATTAAAACTGATTGTATTTAATATTCGTTAATTTAAATAGTTGCACATAGCTAGTGGCTGCTGTGTGGGACAATGAAGTACTAGGGAACAGGAAAAGTATACTGGAAGAATCATCTCAGGTGTCTGTTCTGGGAAGCTTTGGGGCCTGGATTAAATACCTTCGTTTTACACGCCGTGGTACCTGATGCCCACTGCTGTCGTATTTCACACTCTGTTTTGTAACTGTATGATTGTCTTTACCAGTCAACTACACGAGCTTCCTGAGAGCAAAGATGTTCTTACGTACCCTTTTATGAACACAGCTTCCGGTATTTGGTAGATAATAAGTGCTTTTGAATGAATGAACAGTGGCGTAGTATAGGAAGAATAGCCATTTTAGCGTGGGATTCTTCTCAGACTTCAAATTCTAAGAACCTCAGCTGGAAGTACTAGTTACTTGGTTCAGAAAACACCAGCCTTGGTGTCTGAGAAGGCAGCGTGCGTGCTTTTGTTTGCAGGTTGATTCATTGCTTTTAGCGAATACCAGTACTCTTGGGAAGAGGCGTCATGCAGCAGGTGTCCGCTGAGCTCCTGGGTCCTGGCGCAGTGTTCTGGGAACTGGGAATGAAAAGCAGCCACGTTCTGGCCTTCAGGAGTCCAGTTTGCCAGAGAAATTGACGTATACCTGTGTTACCTGCAGTAATTACGATAAGATAAAGACTATTATAGAAATATTTATTCAGTTTCAAAAACCTGTATATTCACGTTATGCTATAAAATCTGAGAGAATACTGAACTATCATAGGTGATAGGGAAATTATATGTATTTAGGAATATGTCAAGTATTCAGAAAACAGATAAAATCGAAAACTTAAATATATTTATAATCATTGACATTTATCAATTACTAAGATTGATAAGGTTCCGCCCCCCCCCCAACATTTTAACTTTTCTGAAATATTAGGGTGTCTCAGAGTTAGGCAGGGGAGGGCCAGCCAGGCGGCAGCGGTGCCGTAGCTGTCATTGCTGGCATGTGCACAGCACCTTTGGGGAAGATCCAAAAGACACCAGCATCAAAACCTGCAGAAAAGGTGCTGGTAGCCTGGACGAAAGTCTCAGGGACACGGTGACACATTCTTAAGAAATGCTGCCTCGTCAGCACTCTTTGGCACAGAGGATAGTCTGGAGTGAGAAGCGTTGACGTCGATGGCTCCTAATCAAAAAGTGATTCAGAAGAGCTGGAATCCGAATATGAAGTTTCAGAAAACCTTAACCGACTCATTTTGCTTATCTGTTTTTCTGTATGCTCAAGAATGGTTTATGATATTAACATTTAAAGTACAAAATGTTTTGATCATGGAAAAGTTTCAATATAAATTTAAATAGTATTCTGAACCTCTATGTAGCTGTCACCGAGATTTTATAATTATCTTCTATATCACCACCCAGTTCTTTCATATTTTGAAGCAAGTCCTAGACATATAATTTCATCTGTAAATATTATAGTGTGTATATCTCTAAAAGATAGATTTAAAAATGTTTTCAGTAAGTAAAAGATTTAAATATACAACTGAAAAACCAAAAGTTTTTTCAGTAAGTATAAAAGATTTAAGTACCCAACTGTAGCATGTATCAGAGATAAAACATTAATATCTCTGATATATAAAGAATCATAAAATTGAGGGGAGGGGATCTTTTCTCATCCATTTTTCCCTCTTCCTCCCATCAATCCTGATTTAGACCTAATTTTTTAGGTAAGGTGAATCAGTGTAGGTGTCCATGTGTGTGTGCCGGGGGTGGGTGGGCAGGAGCAGAAGGAACTAGAGTAGCCAGGTGGGGGCGGTCCGAGCCCACGCCAGGTTAGAGGCCATCTGGGTCCGCCCAGCGTGGGGTAGAGAGGGGAGAGTGGTGGCCGAGATGGGAGAATGTCCCATCTGTGCTTGCTGGTAAAATAAGGACATTTATTCAGGGTAATGAAAACTAGCCTCCTCACTCACTGGTGAAGAAAGGAGTAATATAAAAAAAATTGTTTTTTAGATCGGAATTGGAATATTGATGTGAACTTTTACAATCTATAGATGTAGAAACAAATATAAATGTATTCATGTGCTTACATATATATATGCATGTAATATAGCTCTCGACCCTGAAAAAATTACCATTTCCCCGGGAAGAAACCTAGACAAGATTTCAGAGTTTGGACAGGAGAAATAAATATAAAATGATCCTGGGATGTCTTGTGTCAGACATTCAGGATCATTTGAAACAATCTCCAAGGAGAAGTACTCGCAGAACGATAGGGACATGTTAGAAGGACCCCAAATCCAACTTTTGAAAATTTCCCCCTCACTGAATTTGGAGCATTTTGAGGATTAAAATAAGTAACGATGGTAACAGATTATTGCCCATTGAATAAAATAGCAGTCCTGAACCCGTACAGGCAGAAATGAATGAGTGAATAGCGACACATGTGTACGTGTGATGGAGAACGAGAGGTGACAGCTTCAGAGTGCCCGTCTGCAAAACGTGCACTGAGCACAAAGCGGGAAGAGCCGCTCTGCAGTGAAGAAGCCTGGCAGACACCGCTTTCATCAGGTGGTCAGATGGTTACGGCGTCCTTCATCAGCGACGAGATGAATTAAAGTCACTTACCCCCTGACAGGAAGCTTGAGAAGAACGCAGTGTCACTTCTGGGTGCATGGCCTGCCTCTAATCGCGAGTTAGTGGCAGGCATGCCCACGTGAGGGACGTGCTACAGAGTGACTGCCCTGCAGTCTCCAACAGAGTCGGGACTGTGGACAGCAAAGAATGACCGAAGGAAAGAAGAGAGAGAAGACAAGTGCGACTTTTTTTTTTTGAATTTTTATAAGAGTTTATTTGACCTAAACTGACAGTGGCCGGGAAGCAAGATCTCACATGCTTCCAAGACAACAAGTGTCATTCTGAACTGAATTCTTTTGCTTTAATAAAAGGCATTTGGGTGACACTTCCTGATTTTGATGGTTGTATTGTGATAATATAATAGGACACCTTTGTAGGAAATACTAAGATGCTCAGGGTAGTGGGAGCCAGGTCAGCAACTCACTCTGAAATGGTTCAGGAAAATGAGTTCCTTGTGCTGTGTTTTCAGCCTTTGCCTAAGTTTGTGGTTGGTTCAAAGTCTAAAAAGAGAAATTCGAGGAGAAAATATTTGGTAGAAAAATGAGCAAAAGATATGAATAGTTCATTTACAAAAAAATTAAGGTGGTCCTGAAACATTTAAAAAGATATTTAACATCATTGATAATTAGAGAAGCACAAATTAAAACTTAACAGAAATATTACTTCTCATCTATTATGAGGAAGCCATGGCTGAGTGAAGAGATGGGGGACATGCCATTTTGTGACACAAGGGCCCCTTGGAGAAATGGCCACTTTCAGAGCTGGGGCAGGAAAAGTACAAGCTGAGCCCATCTAGAATATCTGCTTCTGACAGAAAATAAGGAAGTGCTCAGAGAACAACGGACATGTGTCGGAAGGACACAGGGGCTCCCAGTGCCCCAAAGTGAGACAATTCGAGCAACATAATAAATAATGGATTATAACTTAGTGTTCAGTGAGTCATGAATAAGTAGATGGAGGACAAGCATTTTCTCAGAGTAAAATTCTGGCCAATGTATATCCATGAATTGATGAGGTTAGAAAAGTCACCATTTGGTAGCCACTATAGTAATGGTGGTTTTAGGCAAGAATCCTCAGTGTTTGATAAAACCAGAGGAAAAATTACAACGGGAGACTGGGTGTTACACAGACTCCAGCTATGTCCCTGCAGGATAGTTAATAATGACTGACAAAGGGGAGAAG